GCCCTCCCATGTTTCTGGGCCGAGAGTCCCCCAGAGGCACGGAAGGGTCTCCCTGCACACGGGCCGGCTGCAGCCTTCGGCTCTTGCTGCACGTGCAGGACAGGGGACTTGTGCGCTGCAGGTTCTGCCTGGACGAAGTCCTGTTGCAAGAGATGACGTCGGACCCGCTGCTGCGGCAGTACGGGGTGGTGGTGCTGGACGAGGCTCAGGAGCGTACCGTGCCCACGGAGCTGCTGCTGGGGCTGCTAAAGGACGTGCAGCACCAGCGCCCGGAGCTGCGCCTGGTGGTGGTGACCGAGCCCCTCCTGGAGGAGCCGCTGCGTCATTTCTGCCAGGATGCCCCCGTGGTGCGGGTCCCGGGGCTCGGCCCGGCCCCATGCCTGACCTACAGGGAGCCCCGCCCAGGGGGGCACATCCCTGCCACCTGCCAGGCTGTGCTGGAGCTTCATCGGCAAAAGGAGGTTGGCGACGTGATGATCTTCGTGGCCAGCGAGCAGGTGGGATTTTGGGTAAAGCCTGACATGGTGCAGAAGCTCCCCTCTAAAGCAGTATCGCAGGAAGCTCCGGGCACACTGCCGACCTGTGAGGGCGCTTGGGAGGAATTTGGGCTCCTGAGCTTAGTTTCTTTGCGAGAGAGGACAGTGTGGCCAGCCTTAGAGGAAGATGGCGGATGGGCCCTTGGAGAGGCAGACAGGCTGGGCGACGCATGACTGCGGCCAGTTGAAGAAGCAGCTTCGGCTGTCTTCGAGCATCCTGCCTGGGGCTTTCCTGGGGTGGGGGCGCTGGTTCTGTTCACAGCGGAAAGGAGCATCCTTTAGTCCCGTGTCCTGCACGTCTTCTTCCAGGAGATCAGTGAGTGTTGCGAAGCCCTCCAGACAGAGGCTGTGACCTTGGAGCCCAGCCTGGGACCCCTGCTGGTGCTGCCCCTGCACCCGGCCGTGGGGAGGGACATTCAGAAGTTGTATGAGAACAGCCTGGGTGACCGGGCACGCCGAGTCATTGTCACCCACTGGCTGGCCGATGCAGCCTTCTCTGTGGGCAGCGTCAGGCACATCATCGACACGGGGATGGAGCTGCGCAACGTGAGTCACGTGAGCGGGGGGGGGAGGCGTGGGGTCAGTAGCAGCCAAGGAATCTGCTGCTGTTGCGTGCTCTCTGGGACAGCACTCTTGCCCTCTGACTCAAAGGAGAAGGCCTGGCGGGCCTCCCAGTGTCTCTGAGCGCTGGCCAAGCCTGGCTGGGACTAATGGGAGCTGTTGTCCGCTAGCACTGGAAGGGCCTCCCGAGCCCACTCAATAGAACTGAGACATCTCTGGAAGACCTGGCAGCCTCAGGGTGTAAGGTGGAGGGGCAGCACATGGGATCCTGTGGCCCATCCCATGCAGGCACACCCCCCACCATCTCCATCCTAGCACATTAATGCCCTCCCATTCTGCCTGCGGGAAGCTCCCAGGGGCTTTAATCCAGCCCTAGGAACGCTCCAGGCAGTCGAGGTGGACACAGTATCCCTGGGACCTTCCTCTGTGGGCGGGTAAGAAACGAAGGCAAATGCAGCCGTGGGTCCGCCTCCCAGTTTCTTTGTTTCCTCCAGCAGCCAAAGGCACCAGCCTGCCGTTGCTCCCAGCCACTTTGGCCCCCCAGCTGTGGACGAGAAAGAAAAGCCCCCTTCCCACAAGGTCTTCCCTCCCTCCTGCCCAGCCCCTCTTTAACAGCCACCTCTGGGTGCTCTCTCTGGACAGGTGTACAACCCACAGATCCGGGCTGCATCGCAGGAGTTGCGCCCCATAAGCAAGAGGCAGGCAGAGGCCCGGCGGCTCAGGGCTGCTGGTGTCCCTCCAGGTGAGCCCCTGGGGTTGGGGTGCCGGCTGCTCCTGCAGGGCCCCTGGCCAAGCGGCTGCTTCCTCCTGTTCCCTCCTCGAGAGACTGTGCCCTGCCCCACAGGAACCTGCCTGCGCCTCTATTCAGAGGCCTGCTACGAGCAGAGGCTGCCAGCCGTGTCTCCCACCCACCTCATGGAGGCCGACCTTCGCCGCCCCATCTTGCTGCTGAAGAGGCTGGACATCGCAGATGTGGGCCAGTGTGATTTTCTCGACAGGCCAGGTGCAGCCAGGGTTTGGTGCAGCGTCAGTTTGGCTTTTGGAGGGGCAGCCCAAAGAGTTGTCCCTGCCAGGCTCCAACAGCCATTTCATGCACATCTCTCCTCCCCTGCCAGCCCCCGAGTCTCTGATGCAGGCCCTGGAGGACCTGGACTACCTGGCGGCCCTGGATGATGATGGGAACCTTTCCGAGGTGGGCATCATTATGTCGGAGTTCCCTCTGGACCCCCAGCTGGCCAAGGCCCTCCTGGCCTCGTGCGAATTTGATTGCGTGGAGGAGATGCTGACTCTGGCCGCCATGCTGACGGGTACGGGGCTCGGTGCCTCAAGGGCCAGTTGGACCACCTGAGGCAAGACCCTCAGCCCCTTCCTCAGAGGGAAGATGGGTGCTCCTTGCACAGCTGTGGGAGAGGCCCCATCCAATCTCCTGACCTCTGCTGCCCTTCCTTCCTGCAGCCTGGCCGTGTTTCCAGACCCCGGCTACGCGCTGGGAGGATGCTGTGGTGGCCCGGCGGCGAGCCCTGCTCCATCCCGCAGGGGACCATTTCACCCTCATCAACGTCTTCAACGCATTCCACCAGCGTGAGTGCCAGGCAGAGGGGAGGGTGGCTCTGGGGGGGGGTGGAGGGTCAGTGGCCAAACCCCCCCCCCCCCCCCCCC